CTTTGCACATTCTTGTACACTCTTTTCAGCGCACTTGCACATTTTTGTCAGGGTGCAAGGTACATCTAAGTAAGACCCTCACGACAGATAGGACATATATATATATATATATTTTTTTTTTTAATTCGGAAAAATATTTTTTATTTCTAGTTAAACTAATTTGATAAAGAATTCCGATGTGACCCCGGGGGTCTGTCATTGCCTTGGCTGTGACCTGGAATTCGAGAATGGTTTCCCCTCTTCTTGCTGATGTGTCTTGATTTGTAAAATTACCTGCTTTCGTTTTGTCATTGCTTTGTCCGTGGTTTTTGGGTGATTGTTGACGCCTTTCTTGCCGCAAGTTGGATAGGTGATGATCCATGCCCGGCCACACCCCCTCCTTGTTTACCATGATACCGAGGAATCTTAGTGCCTGATCTCCTGTGGACCATGACATGGGTGTGGTTGTATCAGTCGGTTGGGGTGGGGTCTCGTCTACTAGCCACCATCCTTCGGTTTTGCCCCAATTGATCTTCATTTTTGATGCCAGTCTGAAGGCTTCCATTGCTCTTACGAGGGCTTGGAATGAGCAGGTTGTTGGTGCGAATGAGGACAATGAGGCCGTCGACGAACATTAGCGCAGTAGGTAGGGCAAAGTCGTGTAATGGGTTGAAGTTGCGTTCAGTAAGGCGGTCGATGGATGGGTCCTTCCGAAGGAAGGAGGCTATGACTTCCATAATAAAGAGGAAGATTGGAGGAGCCAATGGGTTGCCTTGTCCAACCGATCTTGAAATAGGGTAGGTCTCTGAAAGAATCCTATTGACCTGAACTTTGCCTGTTGCGTCTGAGTAGAGGACTGTAACCCATTTTCTGAACTTGGGGCCTACCCCCATTTTCTCCATGCAAGCGTGCAGGAAGTCCCAATTTACCTGATCATAGGCCTTTTCGAAGTCAAAGAACAAGATTGCTGCCTTCATTCGTTTTTCCATGATCTTCTTCGCTGCCTCATTCAATGTCATCACATTGGTCGATATGGAAGCATTTGTTTGTTAGCTTTGTTATTCTATTTGCAAGAGCCTTAGCAAGGATTTTGTAGGGAGTGGTGAGTAGTGATATGGGTCTATAGTTCTTCAGGTCGTCTTTGTCTCCCTTCTTGTGCAGCAGAGATACCATGCTGGTGCTTATTGTCTAGGCCTCCCTTTAGCCTGCTATCGTTGAAGAAATCGAGCAGGTCCTCTCCTAGAGTCGGCCATAAGTGACTCCAAAATTCTTGCGAGAGGCCGCCGATGCCCGAAGCTTTGTCGTTTCCCATCTGGGTCAGGGTTACGTGTAGCTCAGCCAGGGTTAGGGGTTTGTCCAGGTCTTCGGCTTGAGCTGTCGAGATTGTTTTGTCTAGGTACGACAGCATGTGTTGGCAGGCTGTTATGTTCGCTGTGGTCGGAGGTAAAGGCGTCTTCGACTTGTATAAGTCTGCGTAGAATGCCCTGACTATCCTCACCATCTCTGTCCCTGCTGTTTTGACATTCTCTTGATTTGTTGGGTCTTTGAGGCCCTCTATCATGTTGTTCCTGGCATTCGCTTTGATTTTGGAGAAGAAGAATTTAGTCATGGATTCATTGAGTGTGTAGTCTGACATCCTGGCGTAGCTTTTGTTGGTTGTTAACATTGTTAACACTGAAAATGATTACAGCAAACGCAAGCTCCATGCGTCTGCAGTCGTACCGGAACCAGAGCAGTTGTCACATACTGAAGTTAAGAGTTTGATTTCCTCAGATCATGGAATGTGGTTAAACGCCACGAAGAAAATAGCGGTGACAACAGTGATGTGTAGTAGTGTACCATTCAGCCACAATACCTTTTCCTTAACCCCTCCAACAGGTAAGACAAGCCCCCGAAGTGTGACCTCTCCGGTCATTGCTGTATCAGCTCGAGCACTTCGCTTGCTTAGCAGTGACACCAGTGCAGTTATGAGAGTGACTCCAGCAGATGGGCCATCTTTGGGCACAGCACCCGCGGGGAAATGGATGTGGACATCTCGTCCATCCATCAGATTATCCCCAGCTCCGACCATGAGAGAGAGCTCAACCACACGTGCTCTGACCTGGCAAATCACATGACAAAAATCACAAGCAAAATGACATGAGTTGAAAAACACCTAAGCTTGGCTGGCTTAAGTGAATCCTTCACATAACAAAAATTGTGACAACAACACACACACACACACACACACACACACACACACACAGAGAGAGAGAGAGAGAGAGAGAGAGAGAGAGAGAGAGAGAGAGAGAGAAGGAAGGAAGGAAGGAAGGAAGGAAGGAAGGAAGGAATAAGTTGAGAACCAAAACGGCAGAAGAAAACAAGGAGAAGAGGATGGAGATGTGGGGGACGGTAGAGTCACTATCTTTCCAATGGAGTTAAATTTGCTTGCTCTTGCTTATGTTTGAGCTGTGTGTCTATGTGCTACAAAACATCCATTGAATCGGAATGATACAAGAGGATTAGTATTATGACCTCCACGCATTTAAATGATAGACCGAGAAATGGTCCGATCTAAATTTTGAGGTCCTCGTCCATTGCCAATCAATGGATGATGTCGACCCACACGTTGGATGCTGTTCTTTTCGGAGTTAGTTGATTGGCTTTGTCTGGAGCTTCGGTCCATGAGGCTTTTCCAGAATCCAGAGGGCAACACGTAAGACGGGGCAACTTGCTAACTTCTCGTCCACATCCTCAAGCATTGCATTCATACAAGACCCGGTAAAGGAGGCACCAGCTCAACCTTGCTGTTGGATGAAAAAGTTGTTCTCCCTTTGCAGCACGCAGACTTTCTTTTAGCCACCACTGGAGCTGGGCCTACTCGTTCGACCTCATTTCTGCCACAGGCTGGACATTTGAGACCTAGGGAGAATCTGTTTCCTTTGTCATTCGGCATCCAACCAGCACTATCTCCCGGCCTTTTTCTGCCAACGTGGATTCGCCCAGCATGCCAAGAAACGATGAACCACCACGGCAGCGTTTTTTATTTTTCTTTTGGCTGGTGCCGCCAGCCATTTTGGTCCGATTAGCACTGTTCATCCGAAGTCTTTGGAATATCGCATTTTCGATTCGTGACTTTGCCTGGGAAAGGTAGTGGCAGTTCAAACCACCATTGCGGTCGCTTCCTTGAACCACCGCTGCGGCTGAGCCTTTTTCCCCCCCAGGCCGGACTTTTCAAAACTACGGAAAACCCGGAAAAGCTGTTTCCTTCCATTGTCACTTGGCATCTGTACCATCCTTACACCAGCACTGCGGCCGAGCCTATTTGTTGAACTTCACTTCGGCACAAGGCTGAACTTTCCCAACCTATGGAAAAAGTGTTTCCTTCCTTTGTTACTTGGCATCCGTACCTTCCTTAAACCACCAGTACACCCATACAGTGGCCACGAGCCCATTCCAGAGGCCGATAACACTTCGAAGGCCGCCCCGCAAGTTCCGCTGCTACAGTGCGGTGACGACAAATTTCTTTCTGCAAGGCTGGGGCTGTGTACTGGAGGTTTAAGCCGCCACTATGGTTGACGCTGTTTGCCAAACCTCATTTCTGCTTGAGGCTGGGCTCTCCTAACTCAGGGAAAACTGGCAGCGGCAACAAGGAATTGCAGCCGCCTGCATGAATAATAACAATCGCGATCCACAAGTTCATGTTGGCGGCCACAGTTTTTCTTTTCGCTGCTGCCCTAGACTTCTATTTGCCTGTGGGAGAGCCACCCCTCAGCACTCTTCTTGTTCACAAGTGCAAACTTCTCAAACCCAGTGCCACAATTACCTCCGTCGCGGCTCGCGACTCACCCACCAACTTACTTAGCACTGCCAAACAGTGGCTCGGCACAGTGGTTCAGACAGCTGGCTGTTCAAACCCCTCTGTGCCTCCGGTGATTCTCGGGGGATCAGGGGACCCATCATTTGCAGCTCAAACTTATTGGCTGGAACGTTTGCTGTCCACGTGCATGTGCAGGGCAGGCAAAACTATTTGCTAAACGAGTCTGCCACCATTCTTTCGCTATCCCATGCGATTCTAGTCAGATCCCTCACAGGCAAGCAACTGAGCGCCCTCCCCCTGCCCCAACTCCCCCAGGCAACAGCGGGACTGCAATAAAGCTATTTAAATTTTAAAGTTTAAAGTTTACAAGTGGAACCCGCCACGGCCACGCCGTGGCGCACAGCAACACTCACTGATGGCGTCTCATTTTTCTTTCATGTCTCTCTTTCTCTCTTTCTCTCTCTCTCTCTCTCTCTCTCTCTCTCTCTCTCTCTCTCTCTCTTTGTTTCTTCCCATGGTGTGCTTGGCGGGCATCGGTGCTTGTCGTCTGCTCTCTCTCTCTCTCTCTCTCTCTCTCTCTCTCTCTCTC